TTCTACCGATTCTGTTTCTTCATTGTCATCAGAAGAAACATTATTCTTTGGTTTTTTTATTCTTTTTTTTCTTATTCAAATTCTACAAACTTTCAAGTAAAAACTGAACATGTTGATCGACTCCATCTTGTAAAAATGCGAGACAATACAAACACTTGAAATCATTACTGGCATAGCAAGATTCATGATAAGAGTGACCACAAGATAGAATTCTAATCGAGTTTGGGTTAACAGGAAAAAAACAAGACAGTTAGTTGAATCGCAATAACGAAATGGATCAGGTTTATGTAAAGTATTAAACTATAAAGAAAGATGAGATAAATGCGCTTATAGCATTTTTATTGTAGTTAAAGAAATGGATTTCTTGGATTTTTCTTTTTTTTTCCTTTTTTCTTTGAAGATGAATCTATGATAGATGATAAAAATATATATATTTTTTTTTTAAGCGATTCTGCCTTTATTCATGTAAACTACTATATGATTTATATATACTCATGTATTAAAACTCTTATAGCTTATTGTTCTACCCTAATAAAGACTCACCAGGTTAAACCCAATGCGACCTGCCATAACAACTATTCACCTCCCTTGGGATCCTTAACTTGCTAAGGATTTTGTACCATCTCTGATACCCCCCTCAGTTTGTAAGTTGGCTATTGTATACCTTGTCAGAATCACCCGACCTTCAAGATCTTCTTCCACCAATATTTGGGTAGAATACCTATCTCCTACTCTTCTCTAAGCAAGGATTATATATACTACTTTTACCAAAGAACAATTACATCTAGGAGAAATAAAAGAATCTAAAACAACTAAAACACTATCCTAAATATGTTTCCATCATAAATGAACAAAGATAAAAAAGGACAAGAATGTCAGGTGACTCTGACAAGAAAAACTACACACTAAAACACACTATTATAACCTGTGTCAGGTAGATAAAAATTATATAACAATAGCAATATTGTATATCTCTATTATAAAGCTTTGCCTTAACCTTTATGCTTTTCTCTCTGAACCATGTTAATACCGGAAGTTTTGGCCCAGCCTTCTAATCCGTATTTCAAGCCAAGTGCTGCCACCATCCGAGAACCTGTATCTCAAGCCACTTGCTACTATTATTAGAAGTATCTTAATCATTAGCTCTAGACCAAACTAGTAACACCATATCTGAATTAGGCCAAACACGTAGTTGCTATCTACTATGTCGCCTGGAAAAGGAAACTAGTAAACAATGTCGATCTTTTGATAGGGGTAAGCTGTTTTGCCCACTTTTCTTCAAAATTTTGTTGCTAGGACAAGAAGGTGAGTAGGAAAAAAAAAATAAAAATTTATCCAGAGTAGTGAGCGACTAAGCAAATAGTAGTTACTTGTCATGAACTGTTTTTTCCAAACAAACTCTTCTTTTCGGTAAGTGATAAACTCTAAGCCTGTCGGCAAGTAGCATATGAGAACTACTTCTAAACAACAAATACCATCCCAGCAGTAAGTGATAAACTCTAAACCTGTTAGCAGGTAGCGTATGAAAACTACCTCAAAACGACAGGTGCTGACTTATGGCTTCGTTCTGACTTCAGGTGCTTCCTATGACCTTTTTACTGTGTTTTGAGTTCGAAAAATTTTCTGGAGAATTTTGGTACAAGTGATCGATGGGGAGAGTTGCATATATTTAGATTTGGTTGATGAAAATATTATTAGTGATTTATGATAAAATATATGTATATAGATTTCAGAAAAACAATGCTGAAGAAAACATGTGTATTTTTTTGTTAAGTTAGAAATATCTTGTGCGGAATACTCATACACTGCCCACGTGGAAGTGTGGGCAAAATTTTCCTTAAATCCATTACCTTCCAGACACAAATAATTAATATAACGGCCATGATTAATGATCTGCTAGGCTTCAATATGTTTCTAAGTACTTCTATGCAAAAAAACTATAGAATATTTCAATGGTTGCATCCGAAAATTTGGGAAGTTTAGCCTTAATTACTTCAAGAATTGGATGATTGGTCGATTTCCAATAGAAAATATCAGAAAGAAACATTAATGGAGCCTTTGTATAGTTTTTGCGATTATATCTAAAAAATAATATCTAAACACGAAAGCAAGATTCAAGATAAGTATTAAAATTCCCAAATCTAAAAAACACTGTGTAAATATCCAAAACAAGGAGAATTGTATTGTCAAGAAGATCTTTAAGAGCAAAATACTCAGCATCTTTATATAGAGATTTAAACTTTTCTTCAACCTTGGCTTGGTGGTGTTAAGATATCTTTGCTTAAAGTTTTTTAATAGATATTTTAATTTTTTTTAAATCTTTGAAAGAAGATATTTCTGTTTTCAAAATTTCTTGCCAAACACTATGAGAAATCTCCAAAAGGAGATTAATACACCATGGCTTGGGAGTTTGGACAAGAGGCTTTCGTGGTTCAAAAATATACTTATACATCTTCACGAAAAAAAACTGATATTAAAGAAAAACCAATTCTCAGCTATTCAACAAAATATGAAGAGGTCCTATAATTGGAAGAAAAGATAAAATATTATGAGTAATATTGAACGAGTTTTTATAAACTAAATAATATGATATTGCTGTTCTAATATGAATTTGCCTAGGCCAGTTAGCAACGAGAAGAATCATATGCCCTTTTTCAATATACTGCTATATAGATAGGACACTTGTAATAGTATTAATAGCTTCGATATATTTGTCTATCAAATGGAGGTGATTCTTTTGTAAATCTATAAGGACAACATTCTTCATAGAATGAATATGATGCTTCTCTTTTAACCGAATATCATAGCTATACACAGTTAATTTCTAATCTTGTATCATCATCGACTATGCGAAACCCCCAACGTTGGTTATGTGAAAGACCATAAGGTGCTATAAATCAATTTCCTATATTTAATTTAATTAAATTAGCATTGATTAATAAAGGGTTATATATATTTTCTTGAGGGATAGCCACCTGGTTAGTAATTGGGTTCATTAATATTGTAGCCAAATGTACTGCTATAGATGTAGTGGTTGTGTTGGGCATTTATAGGGTATAAATACTATGATAATCATCTATATTTAATACTATTGCTTTTTCTACATGCTTAGCAAGTGCAGAATTGACAATTTCAGCATGTTCTTCAGCTGCATTAGTCTTAAACCATGCAATTGAGTGAAATATAACTGTTATACCTAAATCTGCAAGTGTATTAATAGTAGTATCAGAAATACTAGTTGAATCTAAATACAATGTTAACTCTTTTTTAGTATTATTTACAAATTTATTTCTTATTCCACAAAGAAAATAGCACACAAATAAAAGCTGTTTTTTTACCTGGGTTTGCATTTCTTTATTTTTTGATCGCAGATTAGATGAAGCATATAACTCATCAAAAAACAATTTTAGCCTAGTTTCTTTCTCTTCCATAATTGCCTGTAATTCATCAAACGAATATATCGCCAGCTTTTTTTCTTTATTTTTATATTTGAATAAAATTTTTGTTATCATCCCTATTGCATTAGAAAAAGACAAGAAATTAGTATCATTAGCTTTTTCAACTTCAAATTGCCCCAAATCATTGACATTCTCAACTTCAGGCTCTTCAGTTTCAAGTTGTCTTGCATCAGTTAGAGCATGTTGCCAAAATTTAACTGAGCTTTTTGTTACAATTCCATTGTAGCAATTCAAACAAATTGTATCGCCTATTTTGAGATAAGAAGGTAAAGTTTCGTTAGTCTGTCCTTTTGTAATAACATTTTCAGTTACCGATCTCTAACTATTTGACTTTTTTTCACATATTGTAATTATATATGGGCTCATAATACTACTAGTAAATGGCATTTTTGTCTTCTAAATGAAGTAAGTCAGGAGTATAATTTTTTTTTGATTCTTTTGCACAGTTAATATTAACATTTGTCTAAAGCTAAGAATAGCTTTTATGGTGATTTTTTATTAGTGAAATGTTACATTCTCAAAAAGTACTTTAAAGTGCATAAATAAGTTACCCAGGTAATTATTGATTTATATCAGCCAATCAAATAAATGTCTGACCATGAGGTCCTATGTGCTCCAGGGGAGAACGTCCCAAATTAGGAAATAGTCAGGATGATTGTTACACAATTCATTAAAGTTTTTTTATACAGTTTAAAGTACTATTTTCGTAAAATCATCGTGGCTTATTTGCATTATGAAAAGTGATTAAATTATTATACAAACTTGTGGTTTTTGTATCGTACTTTAATAAATCAGTTGGATTCAAGTGGATTTACCAGATGTTTATATTACGATTTTATCGATTTTTTCTAATATATAAATTGTAATATAAACATCCAGTGAATCCAACTTGAATCCAACTGATTTATTAAAGTACGATACAAAAGCCACAGGTTTGTATAATAATTTAATCATGTTTTATAATGCAAATAAGCCACGATGACTTCACGAAATAGTACTTTAAACTGTATAAAAAAACTTTAATAATTTGTATAACAATTATCCTGACTTTTTCCTAATTTGGGACGTTCTCCCCTGGATCTATGTGTGCTAGGTTAGGAGGCATGGTAAAATTTTGGGGCATGCCCCTCTTATTGTGCCCCAGAACATGCCCTCTAATATATAAATTTTTTTATGTTCTATATATGCATGCCCTCAAAACTATAATAAAAAAAAACTAAATATGTATTAAAGTTAAAATTTATAACAATTAATTTTTTGAAACCATAAGGGTTGTGCATTTAGAGAAGTTTTTCATATACTATGCACTTAGAAAGTGTATACTTAAGGATGCAACTATATAAAAATCATCTGCTATTTATAATATCGACCAATCATATTTGTGATAATCCTTGCTATGATCACTTGATAGAGGCATGCCTCTAGGGCATGCCCAGGGACCCCGTGCCACCTACCCTATTTACAGGTCATTACACGTAAATATCCATCCGAAACGTCTGCGAGATACGGCTTTATTTTATTATAGATCTGCTTCCTTGCAGTCTAATCCGCAAGTTTATTATCATTAGACCTAAGCTCCATGACTTTATCTTCGAATCTTTTGGAGAATAAACACCAGGCTGTAATTTCCGTCTGCTTTGCTATGATCGATTTATTTCTTGAAACATTCGTTTGGCAAAAGAAATTGGCAAGTTTTTTGATGCTTATTGATCCGGGAATTAGGGTTTTGGGAAGAGTAAACTTTATAGCTTGAAGCCGACTGTCTGCTGAGAATAGTTCCTGCAACAAATCTTGTACGAATTCGGTAGCTATATTCGAGAAAGTCCGGTCACTCACATCATTCTTGGTTGGTGGGGTCTCTTTGGGACCTGATAAGCTATCAGAAGAATTTTCGGAAAACTTGTTAACTTTGTTAACGGGTTTTATATCACATGATGGTTTGAATCCTCAATAGAACTCTCAATACTTTTTTGGGTTTGTTTCTTGTGGATATCTACAACGACCTCTGCTCCATGAGATAATTCTGAGAAAGTACAATTGTCAATCTCTAGCCCATACGACTTCTCAACATTATTAACAGTTTCTGATACATACGCAGTATCAGAGGTGCTGTCCTGGTCAGCTGATTCACGCTGGAATTTCTTCTCCTTATTGCGTCGCCTAATATCATCACCAATTCTTTTCTTATGAGCCTCGTTTAAGAAATCGTCGGTCTCTCTATCTTCCAATGGTTTTCCATGATTGCCTGTAACCAAATTGAAGGTATCATTAGGAGTAGGATTATCTAATCGTGTTTCAGCGTCATGTTTTTTGATCAAACATATGGTGATCTTAGTAATATCTTATTTAAGAATTCAAATCCGAAGCGCTATAAGTTTTTAAGAAACACGCACGTACGTACGTTTTAAAATTTAAAGTTATAATAATAATAATAGTAGGTAATAATAATAATAATAATAATAATAATAATAATAATAATAATAATAATATCATCACGAACTTTTTTTTTATAAGATTACTAGGTAAAATGCTATATGAATCTACATAATCTTATGTGACTAAACGCTTACATAAATTTATATCAAACAATTACATAACAGATAATACTATGTAATGCTACGTAAATATATGGACCTTCGAAGTTTGTGATGATATACTGTGTATATATATATTATTTCGTCTGCTTTGTTTAAAAAATAGTTAGCACTTAATAAAAATAAAAAAGACTGTAAAAGTATACAGTCAACCAATTTTAATATGTAGATTTAATAGATTTAAAAACGCTTATATTTTAACGATTTATTCACAATGTAATTATTACAAAAAAATACCATTAAAAAAAAAAAAAAAAAAAAAAAAAAAGGCAAATTTTAATGAATTAAATCAAATTGTCCAAATTGTCTAAGTTATTTAAATTATATATCTACAAAAAAAAATTACTCTTATACATCAGCTAAATCCTTTTTTTTTCTCTTTTTACTCAACATTCTATTAACAGCTTTAACAAGTTTACCCCTACTCTTTTCATCAACTTTTTCATTATTACAAGTAGGACCCCGACAATCATTTTTAACTTCATAATACAAATTCTCTTTGCTAATCTTAATTTCTTCATTATATTTTACATCTGTACTTTTTCTCGAATTGTCGGCCAAATTACTAATTTTTCCACTACTCAAGTTACCAAAATTACCCAAATTACTAAACCTTCCTTTTTTTTTTCCATTTCTTTCACTACTTCTAATTCTTGCAAAACTAAATTTTTCTTTTTCATTAGAAATGTGCCAAACACATTCATCTCCATTCATCTCATTATCCACTTCTACTTTAATTAATGTATTAAATATAGCTTCTCCACATATTGGTTCTAAGTAATTCACCAGGTCAGGTGATATAAAATTGTTCGTAGATCTATCACAAAATACTATCATTGCTGTTGATGTTTTTATACCAGTTTTATTTTTTGCTTTCATATTGAAGTTATTAAGTTTATTTTGATTATTCCAATTATCATTGATTCCAGATTGATTGTTAGTAGTAGTAGTTGTAGTTGTTGTTGTAGTGGTCACTTTAATCTGAGATTTTGTGAATTCATTTTCCTCATTACCAAATATATGAGAAGTTGGTTTTACGAAATTACTTACAGAAGAATTTTTATTTTGGTAATAAAGAGTGGGCTTTTGTGATTTTTGAGGAAGAGAATGTGTTGAAGAAGAATTTGAAGCAAATTTATAAGGATGATTAGGATTTGTCATATTAGTGTGAGAGTCACTATAATTACTTCGAGATGTTGAATATTTAAGAAAAGAAGTTTGAGAGTTATTCATCATGGAATTATATAATACACCAGTACCTTCTTTACCATTTTTAAATTGCTGGGAGCTTATTATACTATGGCGATTATTACGTGTTTTTTCATGATCTTTTGAATAAGATGTGTATCGACATGTATTTGCCAAATGGAATAACATAAAAGATTGCATGTCCACAATATGAGCATCATCATATTTTTCAAAAATCGAAGGTATTAGTTCTTGGTTATCGTCTAAAAAATAGGGATCAATTCTACCTTGTGATGAATAGAAAGAATCGGAACACGCACTTAAGCAAGTATATATTAGGGATGGATAGAAGGCAGCAGATAATTCTGATTGTAACTAAAAATAAATAACAATAAATAAATAATATTATTATTATTAATTATTATTATCAAATATTTATGATATATATATATATAGTATAAAAATCATCTTCTAGACTTATTACTTATACATACCAAATAATTCAATTCTTCATCAGCATAAGCAACTTTAGATATATAATAAGGTGAATCAACTATTGGCATTGCATCATTCGTATCAACGCCATGTATGAAATAGTCATAGTTTCTGGTCACCGAGAATGCACCGTACGGTACGAGTATATTACCTATCGTAGGAGTGCCTATTGAACCACAGGAGCCGAAACGAATTATTATTATTTCACCTGTTATAATTTGACGAACTTCACGAATAAAAAAATCCATCATTACAGAACCCTTAAATTATTATTAATTAAAATTAAAGTCAAGGTTACTAGTAATACAAAATTTTAAGAAACATACAAGTAAAAATAATGAACCCATACCATAATGATAGAAACAATGCTAACAGGAACACTCTTATATCGACCAGTTATTGTAAGGAACCCTTTATTGGATTCGAAAACAAAGTGTTTTGGAGTTCGATCTAAGAGTTCTGCCATTTTTCGTGCACTTTCAGGATCTTCCACCACTAATATTCTATTAGCGACTTTTTTTTTTTTAAAAAAAAAAAAAAAAAATTAAAGTCATTAAGTTGAAACAAAATAGAGAAGTAATAATAATAATAATAATAAGATAGTGTTAGTACCTTCTCCACGTTTCAGACCAATATAATAAACCCGGCCATCATCCGTTTTTGGAAAGTTTGCATTTCTCATTTGATGTTTCATATTAATAATCTGTTTCGTTTTTCGTTCGTTTAATTTCCTTTTTTCGTTCGTTTAAATAGAGCTTTATGAAATAATGTTATATATCCGAATTTTTAATATAATTATTTAATAAGATTCGTGAATATAATATTTTAAACACTCGACACGGCCTGCGAATATCGAGTAAAAAAGTTTTTTTTTTTTTTTTTTTTTTACAAATTTTAAAAACTCAATTATAATTTAAATTATGTAATTATGAAAAATACTATTTCGTTATACTGTACACGCTTATAAATTATAGTATGTTTCTAGTTTCTTAACAAACTAACATTGCAAATAAAGGAATGATCAATGTATTCATTAAAGGCGTGTAATTTAGAAACAAATTAATTAATTAAACGATCTGATTTTTTTTTTTTTTTTTTTATAACAAGGCCTTTTGAACGAAAAACGAAAAAATTGTCACCATTCGTTACAATATTTATATTATGTGTATTTATTATGCAAATATTATAGGATGTCTAATAAATTAATCTACATCAACATTCAATAAGCTCATGTTACGCATTTAATGAGCCAGTAGTCATTGTTGGTACTATAGTTCTAGACTAAAATAATTAGTCAATAAACTTTAATAGAACTAATCAGCTGTTAAATTCATTTGTTCACTTCTCTATTGGAATAATTTTTTTTTTGAAACCCGGAGAGAGATGCGACAGGTTATTTTTCGACGATACACGTATAAATTTGTTTATGCTTTCTTTCTCTTTCAAATATTCGATCAACATTATTATTTTTTATAATTAATACATTAAAATGTCTTGGAAAGAAACTATTACTCCCTCAGTACCATCAACTTCAACATCTCATGTCACTCCGAATAATGAAACCATATCATCAACACCGATTCATGCAATAAACATTCCACATACATTGTCTAGCGGTAACATTAATTCTTCATTAGAAAATTTAAAAAGATCTGGTATTCAGCGACACATAGAATCTAATATACTTAAACTTGATAAATCCACACCAAAACAACGTGAACTCGAAGAAAAACGAATTACACTAAGAATACAAAGGATAGACATTTTAATAGTTTGTTTAACATTCTATACAGCTCTTGCAATGCAATGGCTTACATTATTAGGACTTTCAACATCATTTTCAAATTTCTTATATGAATTATTTATTAAATCTTTTAATATTACACAATGGAATTTTAGAGATATTCAAACTATTGGAAAAATTTCAGGTGCTACAACAAGTTTACAAATTATTTTTTCTATTATATCAACTTTTATAATGATTTTATATAAAATATTTTATAATGCAAGAAATATACCTTTAAGTTTTAGAGGACCAATTTATTTTGGAGGATTATTTCAATTCTTTAATATATTTCGACCTAAAATTAACGAACATAATTTAGCAGTTAAAAAATTAGATGGTAAATTTCATCAATATTTAGGTATATTAAGTCAAAGTTTAATTATAATTACAGCAATTATAATAGCATGTGATAAATTAACAAAGATTAATAATATTACTGGTGAAGATATAAATGATTTATTATCAGGGTTAATAGATAAATCATCATTAATATCAAGAGATGTTAATCAAACATTTATTCAATCTCAACAAGATGCGACAGAAGTAGCATTATCAGTTAAACATGCTGCAATATTTACGAAAACTACTTTAATGGTATCTATACTTGCTATAATTATGACTTCACTTTTAAATATTATAAATTGGATGAGAGAGATTTGGCAAGCAAATCATGATAATATTATTATTTATGAATTATTTAAATGGATTACAAGATTAATTGTTTGTAAACCTTGTTGTTGCTGTGGTAACAAATCTGAAGGTAGTGATATATCTGAGGAAGAATTTGATATGAAGAGAGCAAAACTTGATGATAAAATTGCTCAATATAATCGTACTAATATGAGATATAATCATTAATATAATTTTATATAATTCTTGAAAATGTATTTAGTCAAGATACGTAGCAATGTTGATCATGTGCAAAATAAAGTCTCTAGTATACTTCAGTACTTGCTAACAAACTTCCTGGGGACTTTGAAGGATTGAATTTTGAATATTGTTAATTTTTTTAGCAATTATAATGGTATAATAAAAATTCTAATGTAATTATTCAAGTATTAGATTATATGTTGTGCCTTTATCGTCATTTGAGTCGCCTCAGTCACCATTTAGTGTTGTTAGTCGAAATTTTTTTGGCTATGTAGAAATATTTCGACTTTCGACATTTTATCATGCCAAAATTCCAAATGCCGAAATGTCTAAATTAAATTTACATAAAAAATTTTTGCTAAAATAAAATAAATCTTAATGATTTAGAATCTATTTAAGTAGATTCTAATATATTTAGGATGAAATGAATATTTAAAATCGAAATATACAGGGAAATCTGAATCAACTTTAAAGTTGATTCTGAATCTAATTATAGATAATTTTAAATTATAAACATTTAGACTTTACTAATTTATCGTATTATGACATGTTACATATCAATATCACATTGCACGAAAAATAGTAAATGCAGAATGAATGGAGTAAAGAATCGTTTTTCATTATTGTATCAGAACTATATACTATAAATATAAAGGTAATTGTTATTATAAATTTTTTTTATTTTTAACAATTATACCAAATATACCTATATTTAGATATATATATATATATATATATATATAGATATATAGATAGATATATATAATAATATTTATTTTGTAGACATTTGGAATTTTTGGCATTTCGACAAAGAATAATGCTATGTCGAAATAAATTTAGACACTCAAATGCCTAAATATTTAACGAAATAGTATATTTCGGCTAACAACACTATTACCACCTGAGGCATTATCATTATAATTCTGCATATAAAGATATACGCCAGGTTGATGACGCATTAATCAGCCAAAGTAATTTGTGCTAATTAAAATTTCTAAATAATTTATCGCTAATAAATTCGAATACGTACGTACATATTACAATGCTAGTAGTGGCTATACTGGTTGTAACAGGGAGGTGAGTTAGTCATGTCAGAAAAATGTCGCGGTAACGTGATCTCGAATCATTTCCGACCCTTTTGATAATCCAAGTTAATACAGATCAAAGAGCGATAGCATTTACGTTATATTAAATCAATATAGAGATCTTATATATTGATAAGTTATATATGTTGATTAATATAACGAATAAACCTTATATTAATAAATTTAATATATGTTGATTAATATAACGAATAAACCTTATATTAATAAATTTAATATAGAGAATTTCAATTAACCGAATGTACTTTCGCTTCGAAAATTAATATAATAATTATAAAGCGAAGAAATAAAAAAAATCTGTATCTTAGATTATCTTTATTACCTCATGACTAGGTCGAGATCACGTTACCGCGACATTTTTCTGCCATGACTCATATTATGCACCAAGGTACTATATTCGGATTTCAAATTTAATTCGTGATCTGCGTGGAAACCAGTAAACTATGGGATGAACTTTTTGCCTTTTTAAATCTGGCATTTCCCAAATGATATATCTATTATATACCAAGCAAAACTCTCTTCTGCTCTAATAAAAGTTGTATAAGAGAGAATTCTGGTCATAACAATGGCTGAAACGTTAAAATTGGTCACCGGATCGCGAGATATTGTCCTTTATTTTTTTTTTTTACTATGATCAGCATCATAAATAAATAAATTATAGTTATTGTATGGGTATGTGTGAATAATCCAGTTACACACGGGTTCATATTCCGTGCCGAAGGCACGGGATTTAAATATGAACCCGTGTGTGTAACTGGGTTATTCATATACCCATATAATAACTATCTTATTGCACGGTGTCTGACGTAACAATCCCGTGCAATAACCAAATGAAAAAAGCACGGGTTGTCACATAAGACCCGTACAATAAGTAATTTTATGGTGATCATACGTATTTTATGATACGTCACAACTGTATTTTATGATAGCAATCCATTCCTTAGCCATAATTAATAGCTATTGGATGCGAAGCATCCAAAGCTATTAATTAGTTGTGACGTATCATAAAAAACAGATGAAGCCATAAAGCTACTTATTTTCTTTATGATTGCTCATCGTCGTAAAAAAATAAATAAATCCGTTATTACAATGCTACGCATGCAATAAGTGCCGTATCAGAAGTCTAAAATCTTAATTTGCGCTTTTGGAACCCCTTCGGGGTTCCAAAGTGCACATTAAGATTTTAAACTTCTGATACTTGTCGTATTTTATGTTTGATCCTAATTGTCCAAAAATCCGGCCGGATCATTGATCAATTAAGATCATCCATAAAATACTCCACTTATTGCATGTGAAGCATGCAATAACTTATTATTATCTTCGCGGCTATATGTTTACTTCTTTGTTTACTACATATAATCACGAAGACAAAAATGCTCGCATTTCGCATCCAGTGGGCCGATTTTGACATTTTAACTATTGTTATGACCGGAATTCTTTCCTCTACAACTTTTATTAAAGTAGAAAAAATGGCTACTTAACATATAATCGATTTATCCTTTGGAACGTCAGATTCCAAAATATTTGTAAATTTTCCAACGGCTTGCTATGTTTTTTCCACCGGATCATGAATTAAATATTCGAATATAAATGGCAAATCATGAAATCAGAAAACTAAATACGAGCTTACGAATATGAAGTTTATAAGTTTTTTGTCAAAAATCAGATGCGAACCATTAATTTTGAAAAGATTTGGTGAAATAAATGCGTGTAATATGCTATCACAAATTTTAAATTAAGATTTGAATACAGCTTTATTTGTACTACATATAACGGCTATTATATACAATTAAGTATTTAAGGCCACACAAAGTTAATTTTTCGTTTTGCATAACCCGCTGGCCCAACTTTCAACCTTTCTTTTTTTAAAGTTCCAATTGTTCCAATTTTTTTTTTATTTTTGCTATTTAATTTTTTTTCCATAAATTTATCCGGTATAACCCAATGATGACCTTAATTTTCTGGAACCCGATAGGTCCATTAAAAAAAAAAATTTCCAAATTTCTGATTTCATGTTATGCAAAACGAAAAATTAACTTGTGTAGCCTTAAATATGAGCACGAATCAATTATCCTGTTTTCGAAATGGTTGAAAATGACAATATTTTCTTTTTGCGAATTCTCGAATACTTGATTAGTCTAGAGTGTTGGTCACTATTATGTAGATTGGAAATCGATTATCGATCAATGTTCTAAACTATTTGAGCGTTCACAAAAAAAAAAAAAAAAGAGAATTTTTTTTGAAATAATACTATTTTCAACCATTTCGAAAACAGTAATAATTTAAGAAAAATCTGATTCGCCGACTGTAATTTCTAAACAACAAATTATGCAAAACGAAAAATCAGCTTTGTGTGGACTAAAATATCTGATAAAACAGAATCTCCAGACATCCTAATTTCTTTCTCCTTTTGACCATACAGGATTCATAATTTAATAACCTTACTATCATAAGCTAGTATAATATCTGTTTAAATAATTTTTGTTATTATTAAATTATTATTATTATTCATTTATTTATTTTATATATATATATTTTGTAATTTGAACAAATATTCAAAACTTATAATAGGCTAGTGGCTTGCATATGAATCATGTATGTAATATATATTTCGCATATATGATATTACACTATTCCTTTATACTATTGTGCCTTATAACACAAACATGAAATTTTTAGCATAGGTCTAATAATATAACATTTTATGCTAAATATTTTATAAAGTTGTTGACAATGTTCTATAAAATTAAACTGTATATAAATAAGTTCAAATTATAACGAAGTTAGTTTTTGCCTTTTTTTATAACAATAAAATAGCTTATTTGATTCTCTCGCAACTTGCTTCTTGAATTAAACTTGTAAACTTTAATAAACTTAATACAACAGACAAAATTGATTTTAACTTTAAATAATTTATTATGTCTCAAATTCTATATAGTAGTAAATCTCTGTATAATTCATAAATTGTAATTACATGAATATATTCTGAAGCTTCTTCCATTAAGAAAATTTATTTTGTAAATATCTTCTCTAGTAAAGCTTCACTTTCTTTTTTTTTTTTTTTTTAATGTTAAAGGTAAGACCATGCTCTTATCTTTATTAGACTTAATGAAAACTTTTTACATAATTGAAAAAGGTTTTAT